AATCAAATTAAAGATGAAAAACTCACAGAATACTTAACAAAGGGTAAATTCAGTATTTCTTTTGAAAGTAACATATATTAGAGAACAAGATTTCTTACTGAGATAATAGATGCTTATTAAACATTTAACATGCCCAAGATCAAAAAAGGTGCTAAAGATATATTCAAGAAGCTTACAGCTGGTAAGAAATAAAACTGAACTATCAGCCTGGGATACAGCTCAGCAATACAGTGCCTGCCTGACAACTGCAAGATCCTGAGTTCAAGTCCGAGTTAAAAAAAAAAAGAGCAAAAACAGCAGTGTCACATGTTATAGTCAAAAGATGAATTGAGGGGCCAGGGAGATGGCTCAGTGGAATAAGCACTTCCCTGGCAAGTGCAAGGGACTGAGTTCAATTCCCAGTTCCACCAAAAAAAAAAAAAAAAAAAGATGAATTGTAAGGAATGTGGTCTGTGAGTATTCCACATGACAAGCACACACTTCTAATATGTATCTTGAAAATGAGTAAGGTCTTACAATTATAGTATATCACACTGAATGTCACATGATCACACTGTACGTCCTCTCACCCATCCGCCCCTCCCCCAAAAAATCTCTATCTCTGGCTGCTCTCATATACAGAAGTACTCTAGCATACTCAGGTTTTAAATGCATAGAAAAAGGGCCAGCCAGATAGCTCAACTAATTAAAGCGCCTGCTTAGGCAGAAGTAGGGACCAGGGTTCGATCCCCAGTGTGCCAAGCCGGCCCCGACCGCTGGGGGCGCTGACACCACGATTGAGATTGGGTATGGTGGCGAATGCCTCCTGTAATCCCAGTGCTGGGGAGTTTAGCTTCATAGCGAGAACCTGTACCAAATTTAAAAAGTAGATAAAGAAAGCTAAGTGAAAGTCAAAATGTCAACCAGTATAAAAAATTACAAATTCATTAAACACAGTGAGTCTAGCTTAATTCTTCAAAATAATACAGTTTAAAGCAACTTAAAAGAGAAAATATTCCTCTTCCCATTCCTCTAAATGATTCAGTTAACAGGGTGCAACTTGCACCACAGAAGTTTTTGGATAACCTGGCACAGAAAGATTCAAGGGCTGATCCTATTATCAACTTACAAAACTTAGCTGATAATAAAGTCTCTAATCAAAACCAAACATATCTCCAGCCCATGCAACCTTCTATAGTCGCACAAACAGAAACCAACTCACATCTACAGATAAAAAAAAAATTGAGAAGACAGACCAAACCAGAAAAATATTCGGTACCCCAACAGTTTTCTTCTCCTTTTCTAATTCTTTAGGTGTTCTCATTCTACTTCACAACTTTTAGCTATTTAATATGCTAAGAAATACAACGTATCAGGGGCTGGTGAGATGGCTCAGTGGTCTAAAGCACCTACTTAGAACAAGCTAAACTAAGCAAAAGCACAGGGACCGCAGTTCAATCCCCAGCACCATATGCCAGCCAGCTCCGACCCCTGGTGGGCTGAGCTAGCCACACACACAAACACACACATAAATTAAAAAAAAAAAAAAAAATTAAAAAAATTAAAAAAAAAATACAATGTATCAAAGCAGGTTAAGTATGCCACCCAATTTTTGCAAAAATGAGAATACAAATACAGTACATACTTACCAGTGCACAAAATCTCTTTAAAGCCAGATGTGATTGTGCACACCCGTAATCCCAGCTGTGCACCCTGGGAGGCTGCACACAGGAGGATCACAAAGTAGAGCTCAGAGCCAGGTATAAGGGCTTTGGCCAGACAGCTCCATAGACTAAAGCACCTGCTTAGGCAGAGCACAGAGGCCCAGTTCGATCCCCGGCACCACATGCCATGCTGGCCCCACTCCCAGGGCATGCTGAAACACCGATTGAGACTGGGCATGGTGGCACGCCATGTAATCCCAGCGCTTGGAAGGCTGAAAACAGGAGGATCAACTAGGAGTCTGATCTGTGTAGTAAGACTCTGTACTTTAGTACATAAAAAAAAAGGTCAGGTGTAGTAGTACATGCCTATGATCCTAGCACTCAGGAGGCAGATGTGGGAAGATCCACTGAGCTCAAGACCAGCCTGAACTACAGCAAGATCCTATCTCAAAAAAATAAATCCAGGGGGTTGCTCAATGCACAGGGCTTGCTTTCAAACACCAACACCTGATGGCTCCCCATTTCCACCTTTCTCCATTAGATAGAATTTTAATTGAGAAGGCAAAGATGTTTTGTCTATTTTTTTCTATTACCATCTCCAATACTGCCTGCTCCATAGCTGACACTTGAAAAATCATTTGAATGAATGACATCTTGATCTTTTAACTAAATGACTTACAGATCCTAGTGCCTACTCCTCAGCACCACCTGAACACTCCAACCCAACTCCATCCCACATAACCTAGCTCCCTCCCCGCATACTGCCACCCCAGTATGCAGCATAGCAGCCCCATCCTCTGGATGAAGAACTCAGATGTCCAATCCCAACCAACTGCATCTTCGCCCAATAAACACCTTGATACCCAAACGTATCATAGAAATGTTGCTGTTTTCTTGGCAACCCCTGGCTAGCACTCTTTCTGTCCATCTCCCTGGTCTTCTGCTACTCTCCAGTCTAAATTCAAAGGGTGAATCAGACCTAAAACTCTCAACCTTACAAAATAGTCCAAAAACTCTTTTTTTTTTTTGGTGGAACCAGGGATTGAACTCAGGCCCTTGCGCTTGCCAGGGAAGCACTTATTCCACTGAGCCATCTCCCCGGCCCAGTCCAACAACTTTTCAAGATACATTTTTTTTTAGTAAGGGTCTACAGTCTCACTACGTAGATCAGACTCCTAGTGATCTGCCTGTGTTCAGCCTCCCAAAGAGCTAGGATTACAGGCACGTGCCACCAGGCCCAGTCTCAACCACCATCTCAGCGCGCTTAGGGGTGGGGCTGGCACCACACACCAGGAATCCAACTCCAGAAGCTATGTCTGCCTAAGCAGGTGCTTTAATCCATTGAGCTATTTGGCTAACCCTAAGACACTTTTAAGAATTAAAACAAGCCAGTGTGGTGGTGCACACATGTAATCCCTGCACTTGGGAGGCTGGGACACAAAGAACACTATAAGTATGAGACCAGCCTGGTCTACAAAATGAACAGCCTGAACTGCAGTGAGACCCTATCTCAAAAAAAAAAAAATTTTAAAAAAATTCAGAGTAAGACACGAATTTCTCTCACAAAGGCCCACGTTACCTAAGCTGTTTCCAGCTTGCCAGCCCCAAGACTGGTATCAAATCAAAGCTTTTCCATGCACTATTTCCTCAAAGACTCATTAAAATTTCCAAAAACTAGCACCAGCCAGGTGTGGTGTCCCACACCTGTATTCTAGCACTTAGGAGGCTGGAGGCTGAGGCAAGAGGATCCTTGGGAGTTCAAGGCCATCCTGGGCCACATAGTAACTTCAAAGCCAGGCTCCAAAACCAGAAAAAAAAAAAATGCTGAATTATTCATCAGGTCAATCATCAGGTCAAAGGTCACCTCAGAAAGGCCTTCCCTGCCTATAGTGTATTACTACCTGAAATAACCTTCCCCCAGTCACATCTTGGATACTTTATTTCCTTCACAGCATTTAATTTCTCCAATTTCTTTCTTACTGTGTTTTTCCATCCCCAAGCAGAAGTATAGCCCCAAGAGGGCAAAAATTCCATCTATATTGTATCCCTAATCTTGTTTGGCATATGGATTGAATGCTTAATAAAGCAAAACTAAAGTCCAAACATTTACTTTAATAATTTACACACGCTGATGACTATATACAAAACACTAAAAGTCACCAGAAATGATGGTCAATGAAGAGTATCTAGATGCACATGAACATCCAGATATTCAGGAGAACCCTCTTGGTGGCACACCTGTAATCCCAGCACTCTGGAAGCCTGAGGCAGAAAACACAAGCAAAGCCCACTGTAGTTAACTCAGTGCAACCCTGTCTCAAGATAAAAAAGGGCCCAGGAAGTGGCTGATGATGTCAATTCCCAGGACTCAATCGCCAGTACTGCAAATAAACAAATATTCAAAAAATAAATAATGCACACTGTAGATGTGTTTCCAACTCATACAAAGAATCTGAAAAAAAAAAAAAAAAAAAAACCACTGTGCACATACAATTGTTACATCATCTGTGGCTCTTCTGGAAGGGTCTTCAGATACTGGCTATGGGCAAAAGAGGTACAGAAAAACTAATCAGTTATTCTGTCTGTCTTGAAAGGTATACAGGAAACAGAACAGTAATCATTTCTCATACTTTCATACACAGCAAGCATGGCTTTTATACTACTGAAAAAGCCAGTCAATAGTTAATGTTAGTATTTTCTGGTTACCCTCGAATTTTAAGTTCCAGAGTAGTGTTATTCAACTGGTAAAAATAATCATGGAGAAAAGAGAACTTAATACACAGTCTACAGCCCTCAGATGTTGTATTTGCATGCCCGTAATGGTAGGAAATGAATGGCCCAGACGACCTAGTACGTGTAAGCAAGTCTGAGTCTGAGGATCTTATTTCAACAGCCCCTAAGTGTTGAGACTAGAGGTCTCGCGTGCACACAGAATCCTCCTCCCCAAATCTTTGCTGTCTGCGAAAACAAAAGTGAAAATACCGGTAGTGAGGATGCATGGGATCGATGCCACCACCACCACCCCAACAAGGTCTTCTGCACCCATGTGGGCTCGGAAACCAGCAGCAGCACACGCACCTCACCTTCCCTCTTTGGGAGGAAAATGGGGCCGAGGGAGGGCGGCGAGGGCCGGATCGGGGAGGCCGGGATCCGGTCCCTGGGCGGCCGGGCTCCGGGTCAGCGCTTCGGGGAGCCGAGGTCACTGACAGGACACCACCTCGCCCGGCCTCCCCTCTGTTCCGTCTCCCCTGCGCCCTCAGACCCCCAACTCCTGTCCTCCATCCCCGCCACCCAGGAACCTGGAAGGGAAGTTTCCCGGCGCCTGCGGCCCGGCTCCCCAACCCTTGGCGGGGTTACCTTCCGCAGAAGCAGGACAAGGGGCAGGGGCAAGGGGAGGGGAGACACCCGAAGGAATGAAGGACGAGCCCCGGCGAGGAAGGTGGGCGGCGGCGGCGGCGGCTGTCAGCTCGCGTCCCCGCTCACCGCGCTGCCATTACTGAGCGCAGAGGCCGCCTCCCGCCGGGCGCCGCCACCCTCCTGGAAACGCGGGGGGAGCCGAGCCCGCGCCGGCGCTCACACGCCTCTGCGGGGAGCCCTGCCAGTGGGCCGCCGCCGTCCCTAGGGGAAGACTACGAAAATGACAAAGACGCGGGGATCACAGGCTCAACAGGTCAATCATTCTCGTCAGCGCTGGCTTTGCTCAACAGAGGCGGCCGCGGCCGCTGCCGCTGAAAGCCCCACGGAAAGCAATGGTAGATCCCGAGCTACGGCAAGCGCTGGGAGCCCAGCTTCCAGCGATTTCGAAGGCTGCAGAAGTCGACCTACCCCGGGATGCCGGGCAGTGTTCACTTGTCGAGAAGATCTCAGTTCACTGAGCTCTAAGGCGCCGTACAAAGAGTCGTGGGACTACTTACAATTTGTCAGCATGGTGTTTTCAGCAGAAGTGTTTCACCTCGAGGCATCTCAGACTTGCGTGAATATTCTTTTTTTAAATATTGGGGATTGAACCCATGGTCTTTTAGCTGACCTACATCTCCAGGCCTGTTTTTATACCTACTGTGACATGGTCTCGTTAAATTACCCAGGCTGAGCTCGAATTTGCGATACTCCTGCCTCAGCATCCCACAGTGCTTGGATTATAGGAGTGTGCCGGCACACCCAAGTCTGCCTGAGTAACCAAGACACCACTAACCTCTAAACCACACACACCCATAAACTTTGCTAATAATCCAGACTACTGGATTATAATTATAATCCAAAACCCCTCTTCCCACTGACAAGTTCCTTCTCTGTTGGATTTTTATCTATAAACAAATTCTAGGACATTTTCCTCCCTTTAAAGGGAAATGGCAAAAATGTAAATGTATCCACCATCTCTCCAAATACACAAAACCATAAGGGAACAAAAGGCCAACTTTGGACCAGGGAGATGGCTCAGTAGAATAAGCACTTCTTGCCTGGCAAGCTCAAGGACCTGAGTTCAGTCCCCAATTCCACCAAAAAAAAAAAGCCAGCTTTATTCATTAATTGCCTTTCCAATAGTCAAAATGTCCATGGTCAGAGTTGTGTTCATTGGTGCATTTGGAGCCAGCATTTTCCTTCCCAATTCTTCTTAACTATGCCAGTCTTTCAAAGGCCATTTTTTTTTTAAAAATGTTGTGTTTGTATAAAACTTTTTATTTATTTATTTGGTACAGGGTCTCACTACGAAGCCTAGACTCATAGTGATCCTCCTGCTTCAGCCTCCCCAGCATTGGGATTACAGGCATGTACCACCACACCCAGACTGTCTGCTGACTCAGTGAGCCCAAGGGGAAGGCCAGCACAGCATATAGTGTCCGGGATCAAACCCTGGTCCCTGTGCTTATCTAAGCAGGTGCCTAGTGTGCTGAGCTATCTCACTGATCCTTATAGTTTTTATCTTAAAAACCTATTATATTCCAAACTAAACCATTATTTCCATAAAATATCTTTTCTTGGATAATCTCCCTCTTCTAATCTAGTGATTCTCAAAAATGTGATCCTCAGATTTCTGGAAACTCTCCGAGACCAAGTTTACAGATTATTTTCATAACACAGCATCACCATGTTCATTATCATTTTACTGAGCCTATATTGGCACCCGTGGTGCAAAGCAACAATGACACTGCTTAAACTTGGGGAGTCAAGGCAGCCAGCCAGGCATGGTGGGGCAGGGCTACAATCCTGGCAGTTGGAAGGCTGGAGCAAGATCTCAATCTCAAGCCCAGACTGGGCAAATTAGCAATTTAGAGAGACTGTCTCGGAAATTAAAGAATGCATTTAAATAAGGGCTTGGGCCAGCAAGATAGCTCAGTGGACTAAGAGCCTGCTTTGTCAGGCTCAGGGACCAGGGTTCAGTCCCCAGTCCTGCATGCCGCACCAGTCCTGAGGAGTTTGAGCTGTACAGTGAGACCCTGTACCAAATACCTAAAATGAAAAAATAATAATTTGGGGCCAGGGAAATGGCTCAGTGGAATAAGCGCTTCCCTGGCAAGCGCAAGGGCTTGGGTTCAATCCCTGTTCCACAAAAAAAAAAAAAAAAAAAAAAAGAGCAACAGCTAACATGATGTTACATTTGGGGGCTGGGGAGATAGCTCAGTAGAATGAGTGCTTGCCTAGCAAGCACAAGGACCTGAGTTCAATCCCTGGTTCCACAAAAAAAAAAAAAAAAAAAAAAAAAAATTATATATATATATAAGGGCTGGCACAGTGGCACATATCTGTGACCCCAGCTCTTGGGATACTGAAACAGGAGGATCAATGCAGGTTCAAGGCCAGCCCGGGCTACACAGTAGGTTCCAGGTTAGCCAGGAATATATAGTAAGGCCCTGTTACAAAATTAATTTAAAATGTATGAGTCTGGAAAGCAGTGCTGTGCTAAGGTCCTCTGTTTAATCCCCACATATATTGTAACAAGTTAATAATGCACAGCCCGGGATATAGCTCAACAGCACAAGCGCCTGCCCGGCAAGCGCAAGATCCCGAGCTAGGTCCCCGGGCTCGATTCCCCCGTTCCACAAAACAAAAAAGAATAGGTTAATAAGGGAGAGTTGTGGGAGGATGGGTTATATCAGATCATTTCACATAATTATAACAAAATTTTCCAGGTGGCTGGCTTTACAAAGAAGAAACTGAACTCACAGTTTTAGAAGTCCAAGGTCCGCACAAGCTGTTTCCTCCTGCAGAGGTTCCCTGTGTGCTGCAGCAAGCCCGGAAGCAGCGACCACCTCTGCTTGCAGTGTGCCTCCTGCTTCACTCCCTCTTATAAAGCCTCAGGACCTAGCCTTGGGAGATGATCTGAGGGATCAGACCTACTGGCTCACGCTAGTAATCCCAGCTTTCTAAGAGAATGAAACAGGAGGATGGTAAATTCAAGTTCAGCCGGGCAATTTAGTAACTAGGTGATGAGACGTTGTCTCAAAATGAAATATAGAAAGGGCTGGAGATCTAGCTCATGTAAAGCCCTGGGTTCAATCCCCATCACTGCAAACAAAAACAAAAGCAAAAACGAAACTCCATAATCCCTTCCCATTTCCACCTTCTCTGTCTACCGTGAACTGTGACTTTGTGGTTAAATCCTATTCACATCACACTATGATCTGATCAACTTATCTGTAAATCTAAAACTATTTCAGGGCCGGCCAGACAGCTCAGGAAACTAAAGCGCCTGTTTAGGCTAGCCTAGGGACCGGGTTTGATCCCCACCACCACCATTGTGCTGTGCTGGCCCCACCCCCAGGGTGAGCTGAGATGGCCATTGAGACTGGGCGTGGTGGCACACAACTGTAATCCCAGTGCTTGGGAGGCTGAAAACAGGATTACTATGACTCTGATCTGTGTAGCGAGACCCTGTAGGCCTGTACTAAATACACTTTTAAAAGTTTAGCTAGACATGGTGGTACATTTCTGTAATCCCAGCATTTGGGAGGCTGACTCAGGAGGATACCCATGAGTTCAAGGCCAGCCTGACTACATAGTAAGACCCTGTCTCAAGGGAGAGAGAAAAGTGGGAGTGTTGGTGCATGCCTGTAATCCTAGCCCTTGGGAGGCTGAGGCAAGAAGATAATCAGGGCTTGAGACTACCCTGGACTGCAAAGGAGCTGAAGGCCAACCTAAACTGCCTAGTGAGGCCCTGTCTCAAAAAAACAAAAAAAGAGAGAAGACAGAGACAGAGAGTCAGACAGAGAAGGAGAAAGGAGAAGGAAAAGAGGAGGAGAAGGGGGAAGAAGAAGAAAACAAGGCCCAATTTTTAAAAAACTAGGGCCGGGGAGATGGCTCAGTGGAATAAGCACCTCCCTGGCAAGCACAAGGGTCTGAGTTCAATCCCCAGTTCCGCAAAAAACAAAAATAAATAGATAAATAAAAATTTTAAAAAAACTAAGAAGCCAGATGAACCAGGTGTGATAACACATGCTTTCCCAGCACTCTGGAAGCTGAGTCAGGAAAACGACTGCCAATTTGAGGCCACTCCGAGCTGCAGAGTGAGTTCAAGGCCAGTCTAGACTGCACAGTGAGAACTTGCCCTCCAAAAAAACCCAAATAACCAGATGAACATGGCCTAGGAGACTGGGGACTGTCAGAGCTGGCTGGGGAAGTGGGGAGACCTGATATCACAAGATGCCAGGACACAGATGAAGGACAGGTGCCAGCCCGGCGCATGGGCTTTTCCAGCAGGTGGCCTAGACCTGACCTCCGCCTGCGGCCCCAGGACCTGGATGTAGCAGTTCTCACGGTTTCCTCAAAGGACAGGGATGCCAAGAAAAGCCTGCTGTCAGGGCTCTCTAGTCGCCCGCCCTGCTCTCAGTGGCACGTTCTTTTACCTTGCTTTTCCTCTCTTAACTCGCTCAGCCCAGTTCCCCCTGCACAGCCAGTTTGTCCCTCACGCTTCACTTGTACTTTTTTCAAGTGAACTTGGCCACTGCTTTTGGCTCTTCTCCTTCAATTCTTTGTTCCACATGAGAAGAACTGGCAATCCAACTCCCGAGAGGCAACCAACCCAAAACCCAGTAGCACTGTAAAGTTTATTTGCCAACCTTGTTTTGTTTCATTTGGGTTTTTTTGGTTTGGTTTTTAGTTGTTTTTGTTGTTGCTATTGTGTTGTTGTTGTTTTCTCACTAGGCAGTTCAGGCTGGCCTTGACCTCACTTTGTAGCCCAGGCTGGTCTCAAATTTGAGACTATCCTCCTGTCTCAGCCTCCCAAGTACTGGGATTACAGGTGTGCACCATCACGCCCAGCTCTAACAAACCATACTATTACTTGTAATAGACAATACATTTATGGGGGGGCGGGGAGATAGCTCAGTAGAATAAGCACTTGCCTGGCAAGCACAAGGGCCAGAGTTTAATCCCCGGTTCTGCCAAATAAAATTTTAAAAAAAGATAATACATTTATGATTTCTCAGAATTGGGGCTGGGTGTGGGGATACACCTGTAATTCCAGCACTCTGGGAGGCTGAGGCAAGAAGATTTCAAGTATGAATCCAGGGGCCGGGGAGATGGCTCAGTGGAATAAGCACTTGCCTGGCA